AACTCCTCTTGAAGCAGTCGATGCTCACCTCCAGCGGAGACCCCCCTCCACGCCGTAGCAGCGGGTGCTGCACCGGGGGACGCAGCCTCACCGTCCTCCGGAAGAGGGGAAGACGGCACAACCCCGTGATCATCGCCGCTCTCCTTGGCGTCACCCTCGGACGTCGACGCAACACGACCCGCCACAGGCGTATTCTGTGTCGAAGCACCAGCAGACGTAGACGACGCGGAGTTCCGCTGCTGCGAGCCTCCGCGAGCAGCGGGGGTGCCCTTACGGTGGGTTTGGGATGCCCCCCGTGGACGGCCCGCCGAGCCCTTCGCGGAACCAGCAGATCCGTGCGATCGCGAAGCCCGCGAATCAGCATCCGCGCCCAAAGCCGAGGCGCCGCCCTTGGGGCAATCCCCCGACCGGTGACCGGCCTCGCCACACGTCCAGCACGTCAACGGACCAGGCGTCGACTTCTGCTTCCGACGTGCAGCCGACGACGGCGCCGCCTTCTCAGCGGCTCCACGTTGTGATCCACGATCACGTTCAAACTGTTCCACAGTTCGCCAATCCGTAGCCGCCTCACGAATTAAATCGAAGACGAGCTCCGGATCCTCCTTCCAACGCCCGCGCATAGCAAGAATACCGTCGACTTTCTTGCGGAATTCCGGAGGCGTAAGTCCCGCGACCAGATGTTTAGTGATGACCTGTGCTGGGCCCGGTTTGAACGCCCCATTCACCTCGCAAAACAGTGCCTTAGATCGGGGGTTCTCGAAATACACCGATAGCTTGTCATACACTGCGTCAATGCGGTCCACTGCGGTCGGCTGCTTCCCCATGGTCACGATGCGCGATACCTCAGTAAAGGCAACATGGGGGTCGGTTTGGGCCTCGGCCCAACACTCAGCATGTTTGGTCAAGGCCTCGAGAAGATCATCCTCCTCGAGTTCTCGGCCGTGAGCATTACGAAAGTAGATGCGCGACAACGTCGCGCGGACGCTGTTGGGCAGCAGTTGAGTCCGCTTCAGAACTTGTCGTTGCACTGACTGCCCGAGATTGCTAAGAGTAATCTTGCGCTCATACTCTAAGTACTCTTGATGAAAACGCAGAGAGTTCTTCTGCGAAAACGGACGTTGATACTCCGGCGGCGTCGGGCCATTTCCACCCAACACGAGCTGCGCATTGCTCACCGCATCCTGAGATCTCGTCCCAGCAGGCATCGCGCCCTAGCGCTGCCCAAGTGTGGCTCCAGCAAGTCAGTACTGTTCGACCAAGCCCGTCCTCGTAACGTCTCGTCGTGTTCGCCACACCAAGCCCGTCCTCGTTCGACGGCTTGTTGTCGTATCGGCGTAACTGTCACTGCTTCCAGAAATCCACCACGAGGAGCTTCGATCCTCTGCCAACTAACTTAATAAAATTTTATTATGGACAGTTGGAGTTGTCCTCGAGCCACCAGGACTCCTTTCCCCCAAGGGGCTGGTGATGTTTGTTTCTTCACTTGTATTATATCATCGATCACAAGATAGGAGGAGTGGAACACAAGACGGAGAGTCCACACAATCCTCACACACAGGGTATGGCCCCTGTGATATCTTCACACACGGAGTCCCCAAGATCTCCGTAGAACCTTCCTACACTGTGACTACCACGGCCAATGTCCACAAGTCCCACCAACCAGCGTGTGTTGCACACACCACACAGACAGCGAGAGCGGGACGGGAGCAAGGTGTACCCTATACTACTGCTGCTGTTAGCTTTCGGCGGAGGAAGCGAGAGGAGAGTCTTTGATTGGGTCTCTGTGGGTCCATCGGTTGGTTGTTGTTATTGTGTTGCGACGCGGCGGGAGGGAGCGGCCTCTGCTCTGGAGAGAGGCACACATACATCACAGCACGGAACCAGTAACACATCACGCTCGTTCCTAGACGATGTAGTACATGTAGTACCTACCACTGCTGTGCTGTGCACCTCTCTACACTCATTGTGGGCGAGAGGGTATGTCACCTCTGCTGCTGCTGCTGCTGTTGCTGTTATCTAAAGCGGTGGCGAGAGCGTCCTGTTCAAACAATCAGCAGCAGCAGCAGTACCAACATTTATGAAGGTGGTCACCACATTACCCCCCCCCTTTTCGAGGCTTCTTCTTGTTTGCTAGGCAAGAGAAGTCTACTTGGGGTAACCGGAACCCGACCGGCTGGCGGCGAGTAGAACCACCTTTTTTTCCAACAATCTGCTGTGCGTGTGTGCGGATGCACCACTTCCGCCACGCATTGCCAGAAGTTTCGAGTTCGATAGACAGTGCATCGTTTCTTGGCCCACCTATCCACTGTTTTCTTTGTTTTTCCGGAAGGAAATCAGGTTAGCAGCGGGTTTTGAACCCGTGTCTTTTGCAACCAAAAGCAGACATCCGATGTATCTACGTCGACGCCATTATTGTGGAAAAGAGGGTTTTGTCCTCGACAGACGTTGGGAAGTTTCAACCTTTATGAAGGTGGTCTCCACACACGAGAGCTTTTTTTTTAGCAAAATATTTTCGTTTTCACCCGCAAATTTCGTAATTTTTTCACCACATGGGGATTCGAACTCACGACCTCTGCGACTAGCGGATTACGAGGATACCACTAGACCACCGGGGCGACCGGGCATGTGTAGATGCGGTGCGATCGCCATGCCGGGGCCCCGTGCATGGATCTCGCGATCGATGGCGAGGTACATGTGGGAACCCAGAAGAGAATCAACCAGAACAACAACAACCCGGGTAGATTATCACCATTTATTTCAGGGTACACTCGGAAATCAACACGACACCAATCTCCGACAGCATCCGCCGTACACCGCGGCGAAACCAATAAACCGCTGCCCGTGTCCTGTATCCTGTGCCTCGGAAGCATGATGCACGAGGCAGGTCGTGCCCGTTTTCTCTCGCTTTGTGCCTCTCTCTCTGTGATTCTCTCACTTCTACTGATCAGCACCACACCGAACGAACTCGCGCGTCAAGCGAGTCCGACCCTCTGTCGGGAGGGGCCGCTATCCTATGGAGGCAGTAGTGCACATGAACAATGAAGGAGCGAGCGAGCGTTGTTGGTGGTTTGGTTGTGCTTCTGTGTGTGCGGTACTACACGGTATGTAATGTGCGGTCCACGCTTTTTTCTGCGGGTTTGATGCTAGAGCGTCGGGTGCCGGGATTAATATGAACATTTCTTTGTACGAAGTCGACCTCTTCCGGGTACACCAGTAATAACCAATATCGGTCACACCAGAGGGTCCTAATTGCAGCGGCAGATAGTTGTACCCGATCGAGGTTCCTCCCGAAATGGGTCCACACATACATGGTTTTTCGGTCAATCAGCTGACGACAGCCTGGGGGTGCAAGCGTGTTGATTTCTAACTGCACCCTAAAAGTGGTGATGAAGCCCGGGTCTTCTACCCGTTTCTGGTTATTGGTCAACCCAGAATGCTGTCTGGGATTGCATATTTGCCGCATGTTGTGACCGCGCAACAACGTTCAACATGATGAGGTGATCGCGTGGTTAACATGAACACGCTTCAAATCGCAGAGCACGAGGCGGTAGCTGGTATCGGGGGGCGAAAGACACACGGCGTGGTTAGACTGAAAATATTGAATGCATTCTCATTGAGCGCCCTCGTCAATTTCCGTCTCTAGCAGACGCTCTCGAATGTTCTACCCTGTCACCGTCGTCACCGCGTGCTGTGCGAGTGTGTAGTTGAGTCCCTCTCTCTGGCAATGGCAGGAACAAGTCGCCGTGTCGCCGGACGCAGGGTCGGAGGAAATTGGTATTTTTGTGGAGGCAGCAAAATGGTATAAGAGTCTGCGATCGATCGACGACTGATTGTACGATCCGGTAATTTTTATAACGAAGGTCTCGAATGTCAACCATGCTGGATCGGTCTCGCTTTCACAACGTGACCCGTGCGTCTCGCATATAGACTGCAGCAAGCAGTCGTCCACGGGGTATCGTACGCGCGTGGGCATGTTTCCAAACGGAACGATTGTGCTGGGGTACGTGTTGCCCAGCCGTTGTAAACTTAGAGCAGAAGAGTTGACGGTTGGTGTTGTTACTCAGGGGCAGAAACTGATTCCTGCCCCGTTGCCATGGTTGTTACTGGGCGGGAAGAGTCGCGGTTTGGTATCCCATGGTTGGAGGGGAAAAGGAGTTGGGAAGATTCCTGCGGGAGAAATGATTGATGAATGGGTCTTTTTGCCCCGACAACAGGTCAGGGTACATTTATTTCCGAAAACAGGGTACAGTTGTTGAGAAAAGTAGTCACGGCAGGGTATATACCCTGCGCTTTTTCGGACGCACCGGGGTGAAAATGGGCGCTGACCAATGATGGGAGTGCATTTACTGCTGTTAATGACTGTGTACCCAGGTGTCTCGCTTTTCGACCAGGGTATACCCTGTTGTGTCGTTTTCCTTTAAAAAGATGTACCCAAGGTCTGCACCTACGGTGAACGATGCGGCCGGATTATGTGAGGCTCGTTTGCTCATTTTCCCAAATCTATCTACTGAAACTTTGCAGGTATGAGCCGCACTGAAACCGTTAACGACACCAGCCCCACTACAGTACAACGAAAGTGGTTGCTATTTCTAACAGCTGTCATTTTTCCTACATAGCCTCTTTCGAACCAGTCTATGCACTACATATTTTGAGGCATGTTAGGCACAACAAACTGAGTGGACTAGACACAGCGGTGCGTGTTCTTCAACACTGTTCATCTCGGGCAACGCTCCCCAACCTCGCCCAAGCCATCCATCACATCTCTTTGTTCGTAGGTCTGCGAACATTGGTGTTGGATACATGTGCTGGATGATTTGGTGTCACGCAGACTGGTAAGATTGCCGTTTGGTAAGGGGCACCGCGATGATTCACGGGTCCCCTCCTTGCTGTGGAAGCTGGGAGCCGCTCTTTGAGCACTCCTGCTTTCGTCCATGTTAAGGACGGTCGTCTACCTCTCGTGAAGTTAATACATCACCAAATCAGTCTCACCCGATAAATAAGTGGCGTAGGCCGCAAACACTCTATAGAGTTTTTTGCCCCTCGAGGGAAGCCACGTTGGGATGAGCTCTGCTGGAGACGAGGAGCGCACTGCTGCGAGCGGAGAACAGATCCGCCCGCCGGTGCAGGAGGGCCGCGATGCGGAGCTTGCAAGTTTGCAACTGCAGATTTCGCAAGTGGCGGCCCTGGTGGAGGAGTCAGTGAAAAGAAGGAGCCTGGCAGCGTCGTGGCGGATGCAGCCAGTAGGGGTGGCTGGGTTGCTGCCCCCAGAGGCCAACGAGAAGAGCCCACGCTGCCGCTCGGCGGTGGCGGGGGATTTCTCCAGCAGCAAACGAGAGATAGTGGGCAAGGACCACGGTCGCTGCTGGAAGGCGGCTGGGCCAGCAGATCGGGAGCGAACCCTGTTGGACCAGCCGGAGTGGGCCCGGGCATAGGACCGGACTACGGGGAAGCGAGGGGGTTGAACCGCCCAGGTGAGATACCCGTGATTCGAGGAAATGGAGAATACCTCGACGGCGACAGCAGTAGCCACCAGAAAAGAGTGACGGTCAATGCCCAGCTTCTAGACCAAAAAAGCCGCNCCCGGAGGCCAACAAGAAGAGCCCATGCAGCCGCTCGGCGGTGGCGGGGGATTTCTCAAGTAGCAAGCGAGAGATGGTGGGTAAGGACCACGTCAGCTGCTGGAAGGCGGCTGGGCCAGCAGATCGGGAGCGAACCCTGTTGGACCAGCCGGAGTGGGCCCGGGCATAGGACCGGACTACGGGGAAGCGAGGGGGTTGAACCGCCCAGGTGAGATACCCGTGATTCGAGGAAATGGAGAATACCTCGACGGCGACAGCAGTAGCCACCAGAAAAGAGTGACGGTCAATGCCCAGCTTCTAGACCAAAAAAGCCGCAGCCACGGATTTGATTCGTGGCGAAAATCATTCATCCAAGCTGCGAAGACCATCGACTTGGACGGGCAGTTTATAGGAGATGCAGAGAGCAATGTCCCCGTGGGCGACCCAACTTGCCGACTTCCGAACTGCTCGTTAGGGGGCACACGAGAGCAGAAGTCCAACGAGGGCTTCAGGCGTTCCATTTTATCACTACAGCTGTGGTAAAAGAAGCTGACAAAGCAATCATCAGTAACTGTACGTCAGCAAAAGGGGTCCTCGCGGAATTGCAAAAGGTCTGCGATCCAGAGTGACAGGGGTCCAAACAGGCCTTGATACGGAAAATGTTACAATCCCCACACACATCAACAGCAACCCCATCGAGCACCTCTACGCCCTCGAGCTGCTGTATGCCCGCCTGCGCGAAAAGGGCTCAATGCTGAACAACCCTTCGTTCTCGCCCACTTCGTTGGTTCCCTCCCACCCGAGTACCAACAAGCGAAGTTCCTGTTGGAGACAGCAACGACGCTGGATAGGGCCGAGATCGTCAGGATCATGAGCACGGTGCACGCGAGCCTCCCGGAGGGAAGGAAGGCCTCGAAGGGCCAGCGTAGGGCGGAGCA